GCCTGCCAGCCTCGTCACCCCCTAACCACTCCCCTGCCAGCCTGATCGACGCCTAACGGCTCCCCTGGCGGCCTGATCGCCCACAACTGCCCTCCCCTGCTGGCCTTGTCCTCCCCCAACTGCTCTCCCCTGCCAGCCTGGTCGTCCCTAACTACCCTCCCCTGAAGGCCTGGTCATCCACAACTACCCTCCCCTGCCGGCCATCATGTGGTGGCCAACTTGTGACAACATGGGGGGCAGGCATCTTGTGAGGGTGTGACAGTCAATTTGCATATTACCTCTTTATTATATAGGATTAATATATTTACTTAACAAAGTAAACTTGGCCTGGTTCTTAGTTTTCTTGAATCTGGTATGTTCCTCTCCATTTGAGTTGCTACTGCAAGGAAGACTTGACCAAGATTTATTTAAAATTGCTAATAACAATGTATCTTGTAAGAGATAGCACAATATAGGAGTTTCATTTTTTTATTGTTCCATAATAGGGCCAGGATATATTTATCAGCATTCAATTGGTGGCCATTTAAGTTTGTTACTAGTTTTCCATAGAATTTCTGGATTAGAGGGCATGCACAGTTAAATTTTTATATATCTGCCCAATTGTCCCTCAAAGTTATAGCCTCATCAACAAGATGTTATAGAATGTGTTTGCCCATGCTCTTTCCTTCTAATTTTATCTATGTTGTCTCTCTAGTCTCTGAAAAATTTTGTGAATTTGGTAAAATATAATTATTTTGCATTAGAATCAGTATTCTTTGAATTAGCTCAAAGTCATAGTACTAACAGTTACTTAATTTAGACTAGAATTGAAATCTTCTGTATCTGGTGTTCTTTTAGTTAACTGAAACTGAAAAATGTTTATTTAATTTTACTTCTAAATGTTTGGAACTAACTTAATACTCAATTTTCGGGAAGTCAAATTATATCTGTCCAACTTTCTTCAGTGGAAATTAATGAAATAGCCAATTAGTCTCTATGGTAAGTGAAAATCTTCATTTTCAGTAACTTTAAATTACATTATGCCAGGCTAAAAAAATTGATAGCTTAAGATGTGTTTAATATATTCACTGGTAGTATCAATATATAAAGGTTTATAGAGATTTGAATGCATTTTAGTCTTCAGCTGTTTATCAGCTTGATGCATAGTAAAGAATTGCTCAACCATTGAAGTTATAGTATTTGACAAATCTGCAACAATTTTGCTGAATAAGCCAATGAACTTTTCATATTAAAAGATAACTCATATGGTAACTTCTATTCATTAAAGCTTGGAACAATTTAAATGATGGAGTGAACATATTTTTGACGCTAATTCATTATGATTTATCAAAAATATCTTATAAAGAATGCCATCTACTTCTTGTTCTTTTAGTTGGTCACTTTCATTAACAGTGATATTTTGTTCATTTTTCAAATTGCTATCAGTGAATTTATGCCAACATTATTTACAACATGATTGAAGGATTTTACATTTTCAATGCAGTTTTATTTATGTATGTGGAATGTATTTTGAAATAATTAAAACATTTTTGTTAATAAAATTTTAAATGTGGTAGAACACATCATTTTTATCAAGCTTTATTGAAAACAAAATAATTTTAGGGACAGTCTGGAACTTGTTCCTTTTAGATGGGTTGCACCCCAACATCTAGGTCAAGAGAGAAAAGTATATAGGTTTCATCAAGGTTATTTTGGCTTCCTTTGAATTTAAAACAGGAATAAATGTGGACAATTTTACTTTCTGTGATCTAGTTATCTCTTGTTTCATAAACTATTCTGCAATATCAATTTAAATCTAGGTATGAGAAATAACAGGCATTGGAAAAAGGTTTTGGATTGGAAAAATAACACTGATCTTAGCGGAACCAGATTTATTAATAAGCAGTTTTACAGATTCATACACTGAAATTCCTCTCTTCTTTCCTCATTCTCCCACCGAATTTTGTTGCTTTTATTATAGCACTCCTTAGGGTCTGCAGGGCATTGTGCATATATTTGCTTGTTTCTATTTTTTCTACTATAATGTGAGCCTGGAGGACTAGATATGTTTGTTATTCATCTTTCTATTCTAGATAAGGCCTGGCACATAATTAGTATAATGTTGACTTCAACTGGTCTTGGCAAAATAATGTACTGTGAAAGTTATTCTATTTGATCATCTTAGCTGCTAAAAACTATTCCTTAGATTTTCATATTACTTCATTGAATCCGTTTTTACATAAAAGGATCCCATGTGCTTGTTAATTTGTTTACAGAGAATTGTTTTGTACAGTTGGAGGGTAATTATTAATAGTTCACCATCTGTTTCTATTACCAGTCTTTCCAATCTCCATATTCAGTTACTCTAAGCCAGATATTTTATGTGAGATGATCACTCCACTTTAGATTTTGATGACTTTGAACTTTTAGGTTTTGATATTTTTAAATGTGCAGAATATTTTGATGACTTTGAACTTTTAGGTTTTGATATTTTTAAATGTGCAGAATGTTCTGTAATCTTTTGCAAGTAATTTTTGTGGCTTAATTTGCATTTGGGTGCCTTTCTTATTATAAGGAACTGTGCATTGTTGGTAATTGGAAATGTGAGATGTCTGTCTTAGATATCTTTGTAAAACTCTTATTTTTGTTTTTCACCTTTGAAGTAACTCAGGCTTTACTTTTCTAGCAACATGAGGCCTTTTTATCTTTTTTTAAAATATTTTATTGATTTTTTACAGAGAGGAAGGGAGAGAGAGAGAGAGTTAGAAACATCGATGAGAGAGAAACATCAATCAGCTGCCTCCTGCACATCTCCTACTGGGGATGTGCCCGCAACCCAGGTACATGCCCTTGACCGGAATCGAACCTGGGACCTTTCAGTCCGCAGGCCGACGCTCTATCCACTGAGCCAAACAGGTTTTGGCAACATGAGGCTTTTAGAACTGTATTTTAATTCTAACAAAAATGGAGAAAGAGGACTGACTCATTTATTTTTCTTTTCTTTTTTACTTCCTTTTATATCCTCCCCCATTTATAAAATGATCATCTCTAAATTTCATCTACATGCATATAGAACAGCATCAAAGAGTATTATAACTTTTTTTGATTATTTTTAATTATAGTTAACATTCAGCCTTATTTTATATTAGTTTCAGGTGTATAGCATAATGGTTAGAAAATCATATACTTTACAAAGTGTCCTCCTGATATTTTCAGTACCTAACTGGAACCATACATAGTTATTACAATACTAGAGGCCCGGTGCATGAATTCGTGCAAGGGTGGGGTCTGGCCAGCCTGCCCTAATCAGGGCCAAGTTGGGGCCAGGCTGGGTAGGGGGAGGGGCTGCAGGTGGTTGGCTGGCCAGTCCCGCCCCCGGTTGGGGTGGTGGGGGCGATCCGTGGCCGCAGTGCACGTCAAAGCAAGCAGTCATTTCGGTTCAGGCGTTCTGGTCACTTGGTTTTTATATATATATATATAGATAGATTAATGACTATATTCCCTATGCTGTACTTTATATCACTGTGACTGTTTTGTAACTACTACTTAATCCCTTTACCTTCTTCACTCAGCCTCTCAACCCCCTCTCCTCTGACAGTGTCAGGGCTCTTATTTAGTGAATGCTTATTGTGTTCTTCCAGTATTCTGATGAGCATTGTATATATTCATTAATTGCTTAATAATCTATATAATCCCCATTTACAAACAAGAAAGCTGAAGCAAAAAAGGAATATATTTTGGTCACTTGACCTCTGTTTTGTTTCTAATACAGATCAAAGAAAATGGGTTAGTGGAAAATACATTTGGACTTTATTTCTGCCAATGTACTTAATTAGCTATCCTTTACACTAGCCTGCCTGTTATAAAACACCTGGAATATTATAAAGGTTTTTTTAAATGTATAGCTCAATTTGCCAAAAAGTAAGAGGATTTCATAAGTGCCACAGAATGAAGTAGCTCAGAATACTTGTTTCTTCTGAAGCTGCTGATGCCCAGGGTCTTTACTGAGCTGTGGGACTTAGAGACTTGTGTTTTAACAGCTATTGGGAACAGGAGGCAAGGCTGTGGTTGGTCTGTTCAGAGTGAGGAATTAGAACCTAAGACATCTCTGCATTCACTCTCATCACCCAGGATAAAATATAAAGCTTGATCCTAAACCATTAGGTAAAGGTATTAAAAAAAAAAAAGAATGAAAGAGGAAATTGAGGCTAAGAGACCAAACATTTCTAGGAAAATTAGAAATCTGAGAAGTAACAACAAATCTAGGAGTCTATGAACTGAGAAAAATCTCAAGGAATATCCGCAAGAAGCTTACAGCAATATCTAATATCTAATCCCAATATCAATATCTAATACCAATTCAGCAACATCAAATGCAAGAGTGACAGCAGGGAGCAGGCTTAAGGAGCAACCGATGAAAGCCCCAGTTGGAGAGATAGCCCGTCTTACTTGAATATCTTAGTTCCTCTTGAGTTTCAGTCAATTTTGCATCACCTTCACAATTTTCAGTTTTCACAGATTGTCTAGGTTATTAGTGACTTAATATTTTTAAATAAACTTATGATGTTATGCTTATGATTCATTTTTAAAAGAAACCTTCTATATCACATGAAATTTGGAAACCCATAATACCTGTTGTAATAGGAATGTATCTGTAAACATTAATTTAAAAAAGGAGCAAGAGTTATAACAGTTACCTGTTAGTGAGTGTGAGGTCTGTCTTCTGCCATACAGCAGGAAAAACAAGGTTTAAGGGACATCACATCAGCAATAAGAGGAAATCGAAAAAGAGGCAGAAAGGAAATATACTGTCTGCAGGGGATTCTGTCTTTCTGGGTGTGCCATGTGCAAATGTTTTGATAACAGCAGCATCACTAGCTGAGTGTGAAATGATCTGAGAAGGGAAGTATGACTGTATGTGTATGAGTGCCTGTTTTTCAGTGTTCAACCTTTGGAAGCTATTGCTCTAAGCTTCCTATATTGATATGCTCTCTCTTTTTTTTTTTCCTTTCTATTTGAAGCTCTTCTAAGAGCCTGTGCTGATGGAGGTGCCAATCGCTTATATGATATCACCGACAGAGAGAGGGAACGGTAAGATTTCTTTAAGCCAATGTCTATGATACCATTAATTCTGATCTTTAGTTTGTTTATTCTCTTCTTAGTCAGTGGTGACTGTTACTCTTCTGTCAAAATTAACAGGAAACCATCTCAGTGAGAGAGAGAGCTGCTTAACCCTGTGGTGTCATTTCTTTGTTTTGAATGGTAGCTCTTAGTACAACTAGGCCAATCATATTCTTACTTAAAAACAAAAAAAAACAAAAAAAACTCCCACCCATTCTACTACATCTAAAGCCTCAGTGAGTAGCATTATCAAATATTGATATTTTCAAGGCCTTTGAACATTGACTAAATAAAACTTCTACTAGTAATTGGAGTTGTTATTCAGTTTAAATGAATAAAAAGGGATCTATAAACGAAATGCATGTTCTATTGTAGAAGATGTTTATATTAGTGTTGAGTAAAGCTCAGTATAGTGTACTCATAGTCACTTTTGAGTTATGCCCACACATATTTTAGAAGATGAATAATTTTTTAATGATTTGTTATGTATGTTGTCTGGCTTTCCTGATCTTTGCATGGTGAGTTATTTTTAGAAAAAAAGAATACATTGATAAAAGCAAAATTTAAACCTAGCTCATCATCAACATGTTTATAGTTCAACCTCTTGGCAGACATAAGAATTTATAGTCGAGATATAAGTAGACTAGCTATGAAATTTAGTTTCACTTCTGTCATATATGTTATTAAATGTAGTGAAATGTTTATAGGTTGAAAAATCACCCCCTTGCAAAAACTAAAATGAAAATATTATGATTCAATATACTGTAGGTGTGAATTAAATATATGTATTTTGAAATGTTGTAAAATACATCTTTATAGCATCAAATTTTTTAGCTTCAGGTTTCTGAAATTGGAGGAAGGCCTGTTTCCTTTGAGATTGGGCATGCTAATGTCTAGGGACTGAGAGCTTAATCAAAGAATATAGCAATAACAGCCTAGAAAACGATTTAAACTTATAACATTTTGTGCTTCTTTATTTTAACTTATAGATTCCTCTGACTGTGTTCAGTAAGACCTGACATGGACAGTGTACAAAAAAAACACAACAACAAAAAAAACACTCAAGTGTGTGTTATAAAAAGTGCCTAGGCTAGTTCATTCAGGGAAAAGCATAATGCACATGAGTCCGAGATGATGGATTGGATCATGTTTGTTTCTGCCTGTAGCCTCCTTGCTGGCAGGCAGTCTAGTACAGAATACTGTTTCTCTAATTGTAGGTGTAGCTCATGAACACAAACACACACACACACACACACATGCAAGTTTGTCCAGGACACCGTAACAGTTACAACCGGACAAATATGCATATTACCACTTTATAGGCTGTGTGCGCAGATTGGGGGTGGGGACTGCTGCATGGTGAGGCAAGCCATGGATGGCACAGGCAATGAGCAAGCTTGCAGTGAGCAAGGCGGAGCAGGCCTTCAGAGAACAGGAAGCAGGGCCTGCCAGTCGCTGTGACAACAGTCAGGTCCACAGAGAGCAGGGAGGAGCAGGCCAGCAGAGGGAGCTGGAGCTGAGAGGCAGGGAGGCATGCCCAGGCCACCTGGAGACAGTGCCCCAGCAGGCCTAGGAGTGGAAGCCAAGAGGCAGGGGGGCATGCCCAGGCTGCTGCCCCTGGGAGACAGCACCCCAGCAGGCCTGCCTCTGCGCATGAGCTGCAGAGGAAACACCTTTTCTTACAGCTCATTGGCTAAGCTCCCTGTACGCCACTCTCAGTGTTCTTGATAACTTTGGTAATAATCCAAGAAGGTGATCGAGGGTTTCTACACCTCACTCCTGGAGGAAAAAATGAAGGTTCGGTGCTGGAGGGACTAAGAAATGTCATATCCTGCCCTAGCTGGTTTGGCTCAGTGGATAGAGCCTTGGCCTGTGGACTGCAGGGTCCGGGGTTTGACTCTAATCAAGGGCATGTACCTAGGTTGCAGACTCCTCCCTGGCTGGGGCTCAGATCAGGGCTCATGCAGGAGGCAACCAATCGAAGTGCCCCTCTCACATTGATGTTTCTCTCTGTCTTTCCCTCTCTCTTCCACGTTCTCTACAAATCAATGGAAAAATATCCTCAGGTAAGGATAAAAAAAAAGAAATGTCATATCCTATGAAAGAGACATCTTGAAAATGCCTAAAGAAAGTTGTCATTTTTTTGTGGTGAAGGGACTGGAGTCTGTGTTGATGAAAACACCTTGGCGGCCAGCAGTGGCAGCAGCAGCGGGGTGATGGGGGTGGCGCCTTCCCCTGATCAGCCTGCAGAGGGAGGCCAGACTGCGGTTTAGGCCCACTCCCCACCGTCAGTAGTACATCCCCTGAGGGCTCCCGGACTATGAGAGGGGGCAGGTTGGGCTGAGGGACACCACCCACCCTCCGCCACCCAGTACACGAATTTCATGCACTGAGCCTCTAGTAATCATATAAACAAGAGTTGTGGAAGGATGCTATCTAGTGCTTCCCAACTCTTCCATCATCTTAAGAACCATCTAGAATGCGTGTGAAAAATGTACTTTTGTGCTGATTACTTTTATTGGACTGGGCTGAACACAATACTGTAATTCATATTTAAAAGCAAAACAGATGACTAGATTTGGGGAGTAAGTACCATTATTTGTGCCAAATTTCAAAATAATTTCCAATATTTCTTAACACATTTATAAGTAATCTTATGAAGGCTTCCAAAATTTATCTAACAACCATTTGTCCATATGTGAAGATGTTCAATAAGAAAATATACTTTTAGTTGATTTCCTAGTTGTAATAATATATTTGCCATGATTCCTACTCTAGTACTTGGGGACTTGGCTGGCCTGAGTAAGGGCTGAATCTCTAACAGGGAGTTGAGTCAGTGAAGCTAAATGTAAGATCTGGGAATTAAATCTTTGCATTACATCTTACTAAATCCAAATGCTAACTTGTGAAACTAATTGGATACAGGTGACTAAACATGATTCCTATTAACTGTATTTTTAATAGAAAGGCTTCACAATGAAAAGGGAAGACAGTACAGTATTCATGAGTTTTAAAAAGCCAAGCATGGTTTGTGAACCATGGCTTTGCTGATTCTTATTGGTTTATTTATGTAGTGTCCATATCTACAATGTAATACTTATCACTATGCAATGAAACAGGAATGTCTCAAAAATCATCTCCAGTTGCAGACAGAGTGAGATATTTATGCATTTAGAATGAAAGGAGAGCTGGTGTAGACAGTTACAGAGGAGCAGGGTCTGTGGAGGTAGAGTTGAGGCAAAGATCAGTGCAGTCTTAGCTCTGATTCTCCACTGAAGCATCCAGCCCTTTGTACCACTTTCATAAATGCGATCTCTTCGTTTCAACTCTGAAAATGGCCTCTCTCTATTTACCAAGTGCTTTTTTTTTTCTACATTAGGAAATCCTAAATGTTTTGTTCTTATTATGAGAATAATACATGATGATTTATTTATTTTTTATTTTATTTTTTTTAAATGTACAAATTTTTTATTTAGAATTAGAGACTCAAATACAAATTAAATAAGTACAATATATGAAGCCTTCATAAAAACAGACCAAACCCCTTCAACTCATCTACTATTTCTTTTTTTTTCTTTTTTTTTTTATTAAATCTTTATTGTTCAGATTATTACATTTATTCCTCTTTTTCCCCCCCATAACTCCCCTCCTTCCAGCTCCCACCCCACCCTCTGCCCTCACTCCCCACCCACTGTCCTCATCCATAGGTGCACGATTTTTGTCCAGTCTCTTCCCGCATCTCCCACACCCCTTTCCCCCCCAAGAATAGTCAGTCCATTCCCTTTCTATGTCCCTGATTCTATTATAATCACCAGTTCATTCTGTACATCAGGTTATTTATTCACTTGATTCTTAGATTCATTTGTTGATAGATGCATATTTGTTGTTCATAATTTGTATCTTTACCTTTTTCTTCTTCCTCCTCTTCTTAAAGGATACCTTTCAGCATTTCATATAATACTGGTTTGGTGGTGATGAACTCCTTTAGCTTTTCCTTATCTGTGAAGCTCTTTATCTGACCTTCAATTCTGAATGATAGCTTTGCTGGATAAAGTAATCTTGGTTGTAGGTTCTTGCTATTCATCACTTTGAATATTTCTTGCCACTCCCTTCTGGCCTGCAAAGTTTCTGTTGAGAAATCAGCTGACAGTCGTATGGGTATTCCCTTGTAGGTAACTGAGTTTCTTCTCTCTTGCTGCTTTTAAGATTCCTCTCTTTGTCTTTTGCTCTTGGCATTTTAATTATGATGTGTCTTGGTGTGGTCCTCTTTTGTATTTCTTTTGTTTGGGGTTCTCTGCGCTTCCTGGACTTGGAAGTCTATTTCTTTCACCAGGTGGGGGAAGTTTTCTGTCATTATTTCTTCAAATAGGTTTTCAATATCTTGCTCTCTCTCATCTTCTGGTACCCCTATAATTCTGATGTTGGTACGTTTGAAGCTGTCCCAGAGGCTTCTTACACTATCTTCATATTTTTTGGTTCTTTTTTCATTTTGCTCTTCCGGTTGGGTGTTTCTCGCTTCTTCGCATTTCAAATCTTTGGCTTGATTCTTGTGCTCCTCTGGTTTGCTGTTGGGAGTCTGTATAATATTCTTTATTTCAGTCAGTGTATGCTTACTTTCTAGATGGTCCTTTATCACACCATCGAGGGTCTCATTAGATTTCCTGTACATCTCATCAAGTTTATCGACAGACTCTAGAAGCCTCTTGAGAGACCTCAAAAGTGTGGTTCTGAACTCAATATCCTCCCTTGATAGTTTTGTCCTGTTTCTTTGTCTCCGCATTTTTTATGCTTTCTTGGTACACCCCCTAGTGGTCTTTGTGCGCAGTCTTGTTGTAGTTAAGCCTTGATTGTTATAGTTAATACTAGAGGGATTTGACCTCCAGGCCAACTGGCTGTGATAATCAGCTGTGTCTGCAGTGGAAGAACTTGTGTCCTCTAGGGAGGTGCTAATCTAGCCTTTGCCTGAGGCT